ATATCACGCACTGCACACAATACACAACACACACTGCACACAACACACACTGTACACAACACACACTACACACAACACACACGGCACACAACACACACTACACACAGCACACACTGCCCACAACACACAATGCACACCAACTCACAGTACACACAACACACACTACACACCAACACACACTGCACACAACACACACCCAACACCCAACACACATTGCCCACAAACACACACTGCACACAAAAACACACTACACACCAACACACACTGCACACCAACACACACCCAACACCCAATACATAGTGCATACCAACGCAGGCTACATAACACACACCCAACACATCCCACAGACATGGACCGGAGGCAGCAGCAGATGGGCCACACACATGGTCGTCAGACGCATCTGTAATGTGGGGGGACACTATAGTGTGTGTGTGTGTGCATGCACGTGTTTGCGTGCACGTGCAAACCCACCAGTGTCCAAAAATCAACATTTCATCTAGCTTTTAATACATTAATTCCTTTTAAAGCATGTTTCTCACCAAGTTTGTGTAAATTCAGCTGTGGGTTTTAAAGACATTTCGACTTTAATACACTTTAACACACTTTGGGCTTTTCCAAGATGACCACACTCAGAGCAGTTGCAGCTTCACAGACTCCCAGTACCATCCCAGTTTTTATGTTTCTATATTGACTCTGTGCCTAACTCTGCACGATTTATGCATGTGAACTATAGCCGAACCGAATTGATGAGAATAGGAGTGGATTTGCCACGAAATATAGCAGAAATTAGCAACAAACTCAAAACTATGCTTGGCAGAATGCAGATCTTAAAGTCATCTACCTGGAAGCTGCAGCAGAGGTGTTCCAACGGGCAGAGGAGGAAGCGCTGCTCCCGGCTTAAGAGGAGAGGATGCTAGGCGGGGGTTATGGTGAGGCTACAAGCTAACGCTAAAACCGGAAAACTCCCGATGCCATCTCTCTTTCTGTCGAACGTCCGCTCGTTGGACAACAAGATGGATTTGCTTTGTCTGAGAGCAGGCGCCTCCGAAGAGATGATGACTTGTGCGGTGCTTTGCCTCATAGAAACATGGACTACAAACGAAACGCCAGATATAGTCTTCCAGCTGGATGACAGACTTTTTTTTCGAGCGGACTGCTGCAGCGAGCTAACAGGGAAATCACGGGGAGGCGGAGTACGCATTTACGTGAGTAAAGTTGGTGCACAAACTGTACTGCTATAAAAAGCTCATGCTCGAAGGCTTTGGAGCAAATAACAGTGAAATGTCAGCCACATTATCTACCCCGCAAGTTCACAGTGACTTTCATCACAGTTATTTACATTCCTCAGGATGCTAATGACACCTTACAAGAACTTCATGATATAATCAGTTCTCTGCAGAACAAAACACCCTGAGGCTCTTTACGTGGTAGCCGGAGACTTTAATCACGTGAATCTAAAGGACTGTCTCCCTAGCTTTAACCAACATGTGGGCATACCAACACGTAGAAACAACACACTGAACCGTGTTTACACGAACGTAAAAGATGCATACAAAGCCAAACCTCGCCCCCACCTAGGACTGTCACACCACATCTCAGTCTTCCTGGCCCCTGCTTACATGCCCCCGCAGAGACGCTCCAGACCGGTACAAAAGAAAGTTAAATGTTGGATCCAGGACAGTGGCCCCATACTGAGAGACTGTTTTGATTGAACAGACTGGCATGTTTTCAGAGAAGCTACTGAAAATGGAGGATCGCTTGATCTGGACCAATACACATCCTCAGTACTGGGTTACATTAGTACATGTACTGACACAGTCTCCACTATCAGACATGTTAAAAGCTACCCAAACAGAAAACCTTGGCTGAATGCAGAGGTGCGCACCCTGCTGGAAGCAAGGAACACTGCCTTCAGGTCTAGAAGCTCAGATGAGCTGAATAGGACAAGGAAAGAGCTGGTTGCTGATATTAAGAAGGCCCAGGCCACATATGCACAGAGAATCGAGGGTCAATTCATCTCACAAGACCCTCGGAGCATGTGGAGGGGCATTAAGTGCATAACAGATTATAAAGGAAGTAGAGAACTATGCCCCAAAGACCTATCTCTGCCTGATGCCCTCAACAAGTTATATGCACGCTTTGAAGACCTGAACAGACCACCCAGCACCACACTCACCTCACCAACGGATGAAGAGCATCTCAGCGTGACCTCAGCCAAAGTAAGGAGTACTTTCAGGAGGATTCTAAAAATGTTATATCTGGTCCTCTGGACATTCAAAAAAACAAAACAAAGCAAAAAAATGTAGAAACGTTTCGTCTCTCATCCGAAAGACTTCCTCAGCCTGAGGTGCTGTATTCAGCTCAGTCTTATAAATAGCACCTTCTCAGAGTGGATCAACCAGATTGCTGTTGACAACCAAAACCAGCTGCTCACATGGACAATGTTTCCAAATATCTGGCGTCTGTACTCATCTCTTTAGTTGGCAGCTCAGAACACCACATACAGAACACTATGGACTTTGTGGATAAGGTGAGGGATGTCATCATGGAGACTGATGAAACAATGGTCTCTTTTGATGTCACTCTTTACGTGCATTCCTGTTGATGATGCAGTAGAGGTGGTCAGTTTAAGATTAAAATCAGACACCACTCTGAGCAGTAGGACCATGCTTTCCACAGAACAACTATGTCAACTCTTGAAACTGTGCCTGCAGTCAACCTACTTCACATATGGGGAACAATATTATAGGCAGAGACATGGGTGTGCTATGGGGTCTCCAGTTTCTCCTATTGTTGCCAACC